TTTAAGTCAATCTCTTTTGAGATATAAAAGACAGAAGTGAGCAGAGAGACATGGGGACCTCATACCACCAAGAAACAAGAGCCAGGAGCAGAGCACATCTTTTGGACCCGGTGTCCCTGTGCCTGAGAAGCTGCTGGACTGGGGAAGACTGATGATAAGGACCTTCCCCCAGAGCCAACAGAGAGAGAAAGCCTTCCTCTGGAGCTGTTGCCCTGAATTTGGACTTTTAACCTCCTAGACTGTGAGAGAATAAACTTCTCTTTGTTAAAGCCATCCACTCGTGGTATTTCTGTTACAGCAGCCCTAGATGACTAAGACAGCGTCCCTCTTGCTCAAACCACCAGAACCCCAGCCGGGCCTCCTGTGGATGCTAATTCGCTTGTTCCCCTTCTCACCATGACGCCCCACAGTAGGCAGAGGCTTGTGTCAGATGGCGTCTGGGACTCCCAGGTCCCCGCCTGCCCTAGTGCCAGTGAGGGAAGTGGCATCTCATCCCGCTGGGGGCTGCACCTCCACTCTGAGGCCCTGGTCACCTGGGCGGGGACGTTCCGGGGCCAGGAAAGATCAGTGGAGCAGGCCCGTCTGGGCCAAGAGATAATAACCCTCCTCCCTGGGCGGTGGCTCCACCCTGTAAACATGGCCTGACCACCACTGATCTCCATCCGCCCAGCTGCCAGGACCCATGGAGGGGTGTGGGTGAGCTCTGACGGCTGGGGAGGCAGGAGCAGATGCAGCAGAGGAAGCCGAAGTCTTCCTCCTTGCGGCCTCCCCACCTCTATCCAGGATGTTAAGAAATAATCACAGCCCTGAGCTGCTTCTGGAGGAGTGGAAGCACAGGCCCCACAGCCTCAAGTGGTCAAACATGAGTCACCGTAGGACCCAGCGGTGCCAACCCGGCAGAAATGAAACCCCGCGTCCACACAGAAACCAGCATACACGTGTTCATAGCAGCACCGTTCACAGGAGCAAAAGGTGGACACAACCCAGGTATCCATCAACAGGTGATAGATAAACACACTGTGGCCCGTCTGCACAATGTCGTATTACTCAGCTGTAAAAAAGAACAAAGCTCTGATACATTCTACAACGCGGATGAATCTCGAGAACAGCAGCTTCCCTGGCCTCCACCCACTCGATGCCAGGAGCTCCCCCTTCTCTCAGTTGTGACAAACACAAACGTCCCCAGACATCCCTGAGGTTCCCCTGGGGACAGAATTGCCCCCAGTGAGCCACTGGTCTGCAGTGGGGTGGTTAAATGGACAGGACCCACAAAGCAACACCTTGCAATGACAGGCACGGTGGACCCCCCGTCCCCGAGGACAAGCGGAAATCTCCCGCTCAGTGTGGAGGGCAAGAAGCCATACTCAGAAGAGGGCCCTGTGGGATTCCGTTTACACTGAGTTTGAACGACGTGGGGGCGGGAAGTGGGGGGTCCTGGGGGTTCCAGGTCTTCCCCGGGTCTCACGGAGAACTCGGTTTGTGAACAGTCATCTGCTCACATCTAACCTGGGCGTGTTCTGTACACAGGTGACACCTCTATAGAAAGTTAAAGATTACAAAAGCAAGTCGCCCCTCCCAAACCACCACCCCATCTAACCATGAGAGAAACGCCAGGCCAACCCCAATCCAGGGGCCTCCCATGAAACTCCTGACCAGCACCCCTCCAAACCGTCAAGGTCTCGAAAACAGGAAAGGTCTGAGAAATGGTCACGGCCCAGAGGAGCCCGAGGAGATGTGAGGACTGAATGTCACATGGGCCCTGAATGGGGTCCCGGGACAGAAACAGGACCTTAGGGAAAAATGAGGGGACTCTGAATAAAATGTGGACCTTAGCTAATAACAATGTATCAATATCATTCATTGATTATAATAACTGTATCGAACCGTGTAACCAATGTTGGATGTCAACAACGGGGAAATCCCTGCGGAGTATATGGGAACTATTTGCACGCTCTTTGGGAACTTTCTGTAAATCTAAAACTATACCAAATACATAAGATCTATTTAAATAAAAGTTAAAGAACCCTTCAGTAATTTGCCAAAAAAAGGAATCCTTAGCTTTCCCTTCCTCCCTCTCTCCCCTTTTCCCCCCTTCTTTCCTCCCCTCTCTTTCACTCCTTCCTCCCTTCTCCCTCTCTCCTTCTTTCTCTACCTCTCTCCCCCCACTTTCTCTCTTTGTAATAAACAAGGAAAGAGTTGTCTACTTGTCTATGTGTTCCTCCCACTTTACAGAGTGCCTGGAACGTAGTAAGTGCACATAAATAAGAAATGTTGCATGACCAAAAAATAAAAATAAAAGCACTTAACTTTTGACCTGCAAGCCTTATTTCTGGGAACCTAGCCCACAGGTCCACCCATGGGTGGGACTTTGAGGTGGGAGGAGGGCTTGGGAACACCCTGAAAGGTCATTACTGAGACAAGGTCAGGCCTAGTGTCCTGAAGGGAACCACCTTCAAGAGTGCTACGTGCGCCGGCAAGCAAGAGCGGAATGTTTCCGTTGGTACAAAACCTTCCCGACACTCCTTTGGGCTCATAGCCACATAAAATATTCTGGGAAGAAGATACAAGATACTGGCCTCCTAGGAAAAATAGGGGTGAGGCAGGGAACTTTTTGTACTTACGTCCTGTGTGCAGCTCAGCTGCTAACTAAAAGGTTGGAGATTCGAGTCCACCCACAGGTGTCTCAGAAGAAAGGCCTAGTGATGTATTTCTGAAAATCAGCCACTGAAAACAGTATGGTGCATTATTGAACATTTTGATCAAAGATTCTATAGCAGAATCCTTGATCAAAAGGGGGAAAATGCAGAACAGAATTTCAAATTCTCATGGAATCCAGGCTTTCTGGCCATGGATGCTGGATGTACCCCCAAAACTATTGCCCTGTTGCTGTTGTTAGGTGCTGTCCAGTTGGTTTTGACTCATAGCGACCCCATGTACAACAGAATGAAACACTGCCCGGTCCTGAGCCATCCTCACAATTATTGTTATGCTTGAGCCCATTGTTGCAGCCACTGTGTCAATCCATCTCTTTGAGGAGCTTCTCTTTTGCTGACCCTCTACTTTACCAAGCATGATGTCCTTCTCCAGGGACTGATCCCTCCTGATAACATGTCCAGAGTATGTGAGAAAAAGTCTCACTCTCCTTGCTTCTAAGGAGTATTCTGTTGTATTGTCCTGAGATAATCTTTAAACCTTAAATAAAAAATATCCCCTGAGGTAAGACAGTACACAATACTGGGGAAGCCAGCACAACTTGTTCAAGGCAAGGTCATGGAAGCTCCATAGACACATCCAAACTCCCTGAGGGACCGAATTACTGGGTTGAGCACTGTGGGGACCATGTCTTGGGGAACATCTAGCTCAATTGGCATAACATAGTTTAGAAGCAAAATGTTCTGCATTCTACTTTGGTGAGTAGTATCTTAAGAGCTTGTGAGCGGCCATCTAAGATACTCCACTGGTCTCACCCTGTTGGGAGCAAGGGAGAATGAAGAAAATCAAAGACACAATGGAAAGATTAGTCCAAACGACTAATGGACCACAACTTCCATGGCCCCCACCAGACTGAGTCCAGCACAACTCCATGGTGCCCTGCTACCACCACTGACTGCTCTGACAGGGATCACAATAGAGGGTCCTGGACAGAGCTGGAGAAAAATGTAGAACAAAATTCTAACTCACAAAAAAAGG